TTAACTGTTAAAGCTAAAATATTTGATTAACAAACGAAATTTGAACACACAATTAGTATTTATCACATCACATCTATTGTGATTCATACGTTTGCATATTCATGTCACGGAATATGGATTGCTTGCTGAAAACCAACAACCACGGATATGGATTTACAGCGCACTGTAATACAAGTGGGTGAGTCCTCCCGTTTGTAACATTCGTAAAATGTTTTTTCATTGTGACTTTTAATGCTTGTCGATACTGACATAAAAGCAGTAACGTTATCGTATTACGAGTGTATATACGTGCTCAATATTTTTTTGTTTTATTATAATATTGAAGGTACTATTTTTTGTAATTTTTTTAGTTTATACCAGCTTTTTGCCGTTCGTTCTCGTGAATTTCAGTAGAAGAAAAATTAATGAAAGAAACCTTATGGGTTATATAGCTATTTGATGGCATTAAAATTAAAATATATATCAATTTTCAAGTTAGATTTTTAAGAACACAATTGTGAAACCGCATCTAATGACATCAAAATTTGGTGCAATAAAATTTTACATAATGCTGGAATAAACATACAGATAGACGGACAAAATTTTTGAATATTCGCGTTTTGGTTTCTATTGCTCTTATCAAGATCACAATATGTATTATTTTTTTTTTAAATATCTCCCATTTATAGATATTGTCTAGTTGTTGTTTTATTATATTAGTGTGATTTAACCAACTGCTGGAAAGTGGTAATAGTACACTGCCATATCCCCATCCACACTTCAAAACTAAAAACGGTAGGTTAAATATGGTAGTAAATTTTTTAAATTGATAAATTAATTATATAAAATGTGTGTGTTTAAGACTGAAGTCATCATAGAGCAAAATGTACTTTTCTATGAGACAGAAAGTTAAATCTGTTAGTTACTATCAATTGATATCAAAATAAACAAAGGATATACTTCAAGCTTACTGTAAATACATAAAACGGAAAACCACCTCTATATTTTTTTGGAACAAAATATAGAGATATTGTAGACTTAAATTGGACTCGATATTCCGGGGCAAACCTATTCCCATTGCCGTTCGAAAACACCTTAAATCTTCACTGACCATTGAGCTAGACAGCTAGCCAATCTCCTCTATAATGTATGGATTGAAGATATGTAAGTCTGCACTTACAGGCTATCCCTGGAGAACGAGATCCGTTGGGCTATATCGGTGCATATTAAAAATTTGTTTTAGCTTTGCATTCGGCTGGAAAGAAAGTTTCTAACAAAAGTAGGGAGGTAATTGTAATTTATGTAAATAAATAAACGTAGGGAACAGAATTACGAAAAACAGAAAAAAAAGATCCAATGTTTATCCATCAACCACTATAAAATTAATAAGAAGATGTATAAATCGCAGCGCCGAGCACGTTGCTTTGCGTAAATGAATCTTGAATCCTATCTTTGATTTTCTGTGGAGCCAATTTGTCAATTGACTTGGGTCTGGGTGTTTTGGGTTGTGACGCCAAATTTTCGTTGTTTAATTTCTTACAATAAATACCCTTTACTTAAGAATCTGCTGATTGGTGTGATTGTATGTAATTATAACAGGGGCAATAATAAGTTTCCGTTAAAAAGTTACGAGTTCGCACAATTTGTATTTTAATTAGCTCCGGGCACGGATATGAAGGTAATGATGAAATGGGTAAGAAATTATGATTTCAGCTGTGATGAGATTTTTAACGAGCGGCGGTGGGCAAATTGCTGGAAAATATTTAGTTAATTTCAAGTACTTACCTACCTCGGGTCACATGCTTTGATCCTGGGTTTTTAACACAACTAAAGTAATACATACTTTTTAATAATGTAAAAAAAATGTTTCATTCGTGTTTTATATTACGTATAATATGTGGATTTTGATAATTTTGGTAAGAAGTTTCCATGACCACACATATACAGTGACGCTAGTAGGTATCACTTATGCATTGCCACTCTTAAGGATTAAGGTATATCTAAATAGGTTTTACTTGAGCGTATGTTTTCATAGAATCGCATAGGTGAGACGATATAACGTATTCCTATATAACCTATGTGATTCATCATGTTTAGTCTTTAAAAATAGATTAGGTTAATATATCTATTTTACATACATAGATGTTACATATATTATGAATTTAAAAATATTAAAGTATTGTACGCATGAAATGCATAAATACGCAAGCAGGCGACGGGACTCTGTACCGAAATTTGTTGAACTATAGAACGCCCTAAAGCTACATAGTCTGTACGTAAGATTTTCTTAAATTTCTAATCATAAAAGTGGATCTTATCGGGTAAGATATAAGGTTCGAATTGTTTGTTATACAAAGATTATATCAACAGAACAGCGTACGTAATAACAGCGGCTTAAGACGTATAGGTCGTCATCACTCAGGAAATGAAGTTGATTCCTGTGGCGTTGATATACCGATGTTTATTCTAAGGATTTAATGCTTCCTCTTATACAGGGTGATATCGAAATCGTTTGCATCTTTTTAAAAGTGTATTTTATCAGCTACTCTATTACTTATTGTTATTACTATAGCTATTTATTCTTAAAGGTCGAGGCAGCAGCGTCTCTCTTAAAACATCACCAAACACCTAAATTTCCAATCCGCTTGCCAAGCTTGCCAATTACTGGAAAGCCATCTTTATGGGAAAGGTCTATATTAAGCAATGGCCAGTTAACGGCTGAAATGATGATGATGATGATTCTATCATTAAAGTAAATTTCCACCAAAGAAACATGGGTTGAAAGACGATAAAAACTTCTGAGCTTCCTAAAATGAACACAGCATGTCCAGTTCTTAATACGAAAAACTTAATTTTTTTTATCATTTTTGACTTTCTGAAATTTATATCCTATTACATTTTATCATGAGGAGATTCCTAGTTTTATGGAGTAATCTTTATGTCAGTGCAAGCAGTGCAGTAGGAAAGTAATTTGAATTCATGATTTAAGTTTCATTAATTTAGCACTTGAACCATATATTGGATCAACATGTACGCGATATTTTATTATAATTCATACAGGAAAAATCTCGAGATATAGCAAGAGTTGCTATAATCCGATGGGGTTGCTGGTCGACGGTCGACAGGTCGGCATGTGACATGGTTATTTACATATATATTTATGCACGTGTTTTCTCCACATACTGACGTTAACAACCTCATTTGCATACCTGTATTGTTTATAGAAAACAAACTTTATTGTCATATTTTGTAGAAGGTTTTTTGCATGAATGTGAGTACGAGTTGGTAATTAAGAGAGTGTAAATATCTGTTATAAAGATATATATCTGCAAATTCATACGCGTAACTGGGCTATGTTCATTTATAAGGATAAAATGCAGCATATATCTTTCTCCTTTCCATATAGCATGAATATATTATAGTTATACATATAAAACTTTATAATTAAACCGTTAAGAGGTAATAAATAAATAAACTCATTTTTACATTTATAGTGAATACTACAAGCCCGTCCTTGGTTCGCACCAATGAAGAAAATGAGACTAAATCTTTCCATTCTTTCATTCGTTTTTTTTATATGGAAATTTTTTAAACAATATATATATATATATATATATATATATATATATATATATATATATATATATATATATATATATATATATATATATATATATATTACTCATGTTAATTGTAATATAATAAATAATGTTAATTATAAAATACTGAGGTTAAATAAAATTACGTACAACCCCTGCAACCCGCCATAAACTAAAATTTCAACCTGGATGAGTGGCGGTCTTCAAGCGCCATGCGCCATGCGTTACCATGCGCTTTTCAAGATACTTTCTTCCATGCACAACCACTCTTTGGAATCAACTTTCAGCAGCAGTATTTTCGAACCGATACGACATGACAACCTTCAAGAAAAGAGCATATTCCTTTTTAAAAGGCCGGCAGCACACTTGCAATGCCGTTGGTGTTGTGAGTGATCATGGGCGGCGGTAGTCACTTACCATTAGGTGAGCTGAATGCTCGTTTGCCTCCTGTTTTGTAAAAAAAAAAAATATACATTTTAATACTCTTTGAAGTGGTAGTTAAAAGGACGTAGGATGGTGCAACGTTAAAAACCTAGACTTCACACAACATTATTATACTGTGCCATCTATTAAATCACGCATGTTACTCCTGATGTCTATAAGGTATATTACATGTTTTTTGTTTCAAATTTATTAATGTTTAATTTCATACTTAGATATTTGTTACCTAAAATAAATATCCATTTACAAAAACAAAGAAAACAAGTAGGTACTTTGCGATATTCAATATAATTAGGCCACTTGTGTTATTCACGAAATCTGTTTATCGACTTACAAAAATATTTTTCGGGGGAGGTAAACGAACTGTTGTTTGCAATTTAGGGAAGTTCAATCGTTTATAATTAGGAGGAAATATATTAAATCAAAGAGGGGTTGATCTCTTTGTAATTTTATATACAACAGAAAATACAATAGAAACGGTTGACGCTATAACCTATTTCACATCTGTTTTCGTTTGTGCTATTTTCGTAGATAAATTGAGCTTTCAAACAAAGAAAAGTTCGTAATGCCACTGAGTCACTAGTCCTGTTTAGACCAAACACCAATTTTAGCTCTTATCTCACAGAATATGCTGTTTTGTAGACGTTGTAATAAAAATATAGTGATTGATCTATAATAAATAAATTTCTAGTTAGAATTATAAAAAAATCTAAAGTTTTTGAAATCAAGGATTTTTTATGATGACTTCTCTAATGGATATAATAATAAGCTATGGAATGATTTGCACCTTCTTTCTTTATGGTTATTTATATAGTTAGTTCTATGGGTAACAACTTACTGCTTTTATGGCTTAATCAACAATTAACAGCAGCTATTCATATTTTCATAAACAAGATTCCAAGTAAAACAGAGTTATGATTAAAAACTCGTAAATTATAAAATAGGAGTAATATAGAAATATCTAATAAAAATGCATAGCAATAAATTTTCTTGTTTATTAATCATTCTTAATCTAAAAATTTATACAATAATACTTAAATTAGGGTAACTACAGATTTACTACTACTTTTGACTATAGACACACCAGATCGTGTCCCTTGAACCATAGGCTCGTTGGTTTATTATGCAAAAATGAAAATTCGAAATTTAATTTAATTTTTTTATGATATCTACAAATTATAGTAGGTATTTGAAAATCGGAATAAAAATAAAATAAATAACCACACACTTAGCCTAGACATTTATAATTGTACTGACCAAGTATCCGTCGTAATTTTTTTTATACATGTATTTTTATATTATACATTTTTTTTTCGATTCGATTTTAGCATTCGTTCATTTTATAGCTAATTCGTTCATTTTAGGTACATAATAGTATAGAAGTCTATATATGTATATATATAACGGGAATTTAAAAAACTCACTAAGTTTGTCGTTTCCGACAGTAGTTTCGACTTAATCTGGAAGTGCGGGGAGAGTAGTTGCGATCGTACTCCCTTCGAAGAAGACTTCAGGATGAAGTCGAAACAATTGTCGAAAACGACAAACATAGTAAGCGCATAAAAATGAACATTAGTTTTAACAATAGTATAGAAGTCACTATGAAGCTGTGATCATAAATTATGTTTTGCATATTTTCTTTCCGTGTAGATGTATAATTTGTCAGTCGCTTTAAGGAAAGGCAATAGATTCACAGTGACTAAATATCTCACTACAGATATTCATTGGTATTACATTTCTTACACAATACCTTTACAACACTTCTTCAATGTTATAATAAAACAATTTATAGATTTTTTTTTATCCAAAAGATAGTTATTTAAAGAAATAAGTTTACACCATGTACATAAATTGTTTTGTAGAATCAATTGTATACTAAATTACAAATATGTACAGTACCTATACTCGATTCTTATTTCTTGATAATTATTACGAGATTCACATTTATAAAATAAAAAGATGGCGCCCCCTAGCTATCTAAACTGTTCTATGAAAATGCTATCACAAAAAACTAAAACTGTCTACAAAACGACATAATTTGCCATACGATCCGTTGCTCGATTCGTTCCCATAATGAAGGGGATTGATTTATTATTCTATTGATATGCCAATTATTATAGTAAAGAGTCTGCTGATCGACTACAGACACAGGATGCAGTATAACGTACTTATGTACGTACAGACTGTAATGACAAACTAATAGAGTGATTGTAATGTAAATTAATTGGAAAAAAATTAAGTTACGAAATTAATAGATATTTACGTAACTACGAGTATTACTGCTTGAACTGCAATTAGCTCACTGCGTTGCAAAAGATCTGAATGAGCTTTATTTGGACTAAATGCGATAGATTAATATTGAATTTTATTCAATACTCTTCGATCTTCATAAACATAATCAGAATTATGTTAATTTCTCAACAACAACATCATAACATCAAAAAACAAATAGTTATTTGATGTAAATCTATAGAGATTTCCTTTCAATAGAACTTAATGAAAATGTAAACAAACGAATAATTAACTCAATTAGAAGATATTTTGCGAATGTTCAACGGTAGTACAAATAAAATGTCGATTAATTTATTGAAAGATCTCATTTGTTACTAATATCATTTACAGAGAATTTCAATAAAACTTAGTCACCCCTTTACTCTACAGATATAGATTATTACTGTTGTGAATGATTTGTTACCTCTCTCTAATATATATGACACTATTCTTTTTCTCTTTTATATTTCTTTCTACGTTTCTTTATTTAATCAACTCTACCGCTCGTGTGCGAGCCATGTCGTCTGCAGACAGCCTAAATAACATTTTATAGCAATCATCAATCCGATCGAACTTCACAAATGAAGTATGTTTCGAATGAGCACGGTGAGTCGTTCCATTTCAAGCCTTTGTCGTCTCTGTTCCACAGTTCTAAGCAGTTCTCCTCCTCGCCGTTTTCGTACCTAAAGTTGTTAGGTTCACCCGCGTTCCAGTTGACAAACGTGAGCGGTCTGCCGTTAGCCATCCAGAAGAAGTTGCCCTCTTCGGCCAAGTCCGTACCCGATGTCCAGAAATGCTCGCGTCCATAACCTGAAAAAAAAAAGAGAATTTGTTACGTATTATTTCATAGGTTATATAATTTTTTTCTGAGTCTGTTTCATCATAAGGAGAAATATTTGAGAAAATGTGATACAAGTTCAAAAATGTACCATTGTAATAATACTTAAAACGATTTTCTTTCTATAATAAATATACTGTTAAAATTATTCTAATTGAGTTAAAATACAAATTCATCATTCACATAGTTAGGGACGTAAAACGAGTAATCAAAATCAGTTCATAATAATTATTACTGGTATAACAACTCACAAGAAAAGTACAATTGAATCGAGGCCCTATCTTTTCTAATGGATTGAAAATAGATTTTTAGTCATTGTAATTGTAGTCATAAATGAACACGATCCTGTGTCTATGGTTACTATAAGAGATCCTGACCTACATATATCTGTAACTGAAAAGGGCACTATAATAACTTTAGGGATTCATATCTATCTGTTCGGTAAAGGCACATAAAAAATATGATACATAGAGGTAATATTTTTAAACACTGATTAGATATATGATTGTTTAAAGTTTTAAAATTTGTGTTAATTTGTTTTGCTTTTTAGTGTTAACAGTTTATGTGTGTAACAGTTAGCGATTTAATATATCAACTAATCATTAAACTTTATGTAAACCTAGTATTTGGTATGGATAACGATATAGGCTACCGCTTTAATCCGGTTAAAAATCCAGGACGAAGTCGCGGGTAAAAAATTATAAATAAAGAAATTAAATAAAATTTTAACTAGACAATGTTTGTACACAGGATTAATGTCTCCTTCCTATCTATTTTCTTAAATAATATTTAAGAAATAATTGATACGAGAGGTCTTATTTGAAAATTGATAAGAGTAACATAAACTAAAATAATAATTTTTAGAACTTATGCCAATTTCCCTTTATATATATACATACATACATATATATATACCAGGATAAAAAAACCACTCGACAAAAACTACCGCATCAAATCGATACGGTTTTCGCGGTAATGTTCTTGAAGGTCGATCTTAAAATGTAGGTATATGAATTTGCGGGCAAAAGTTAGTTAAAAATAAATAAATTCTTACCAGAGTCTTTGACGTATTGCTCAAGTTTGTCGTTCTCCTGTTGCGAGGATATCGATGCCAGGTGCATGCCGTGGAATCTGCAGTACTGCTGCGCTTTAAACCAGTTCGCCTGGAAACAATAATGACAATATCTCAATAAGCAATAATCAGTAAATAATTAAAAAAATAGTTATACCTATATTTTCTTGAATAATTGTAGATATTGTTATTTATTAATTCAAAAGATTAATAAATTTTTACCAATCTTATGACTATTTTAAATACGAAAGTTTGTGAGAATTGACGTATCCATGGAAGTTTGTTACTGTTTCACACAAAACTTCTAACGGATTTGAATAAAATTTTATACACGAATAATTAACTTAGAACATAGAATAATTTATATACTGAATCACGTGAACGAAACCGAATTTGATTGTTCGTTACTTTTTGGCTTCTTCATGGCTTAACTAATCGTCATGAAATTTGGGATACATGCAGTATTGTTTTTAAATGGATGATATTGGAATGGTAACCCCACCCGCGCTATCGGTATACACCGGCGGGGCACCAGTGAAGAATGATGAGTGAGGATGAAGTAGGTCAGTTAGCCCATCGTGACGAATTCAACAAGAATGGTTCACGATGGTTTCCAGGGGGAACCACGTGGAGGTCGACATAATAAGGTATATTGCTAGCAATGGAGCTGTCAAACTCCATTGCTAACAATAATTTTTCCCCCACATGCAGTATTTAGGACAGAGAAGGGTATAAGTTACTTTTTACTTCGGTCAATCAGTATATCTTGGTTGCGGGTTCGAAGTCACGTATAAAAATTACCTTAAGTATAATTAAATGTTATTCAGAAACAGATATATATTATGAAATATCTTATTATCTAATATAAATTGTTAATTTATGCTCGTTTCCATACATTAAAAATGGGCTAATGATGATTTTATTGCATTTAAAGCATCTTATTTGTAACCAGCACCACTTTCTCTTGCGTGGTACCGGTATTTTTACAATAATTTTAGGATAATTTGATTATGTATCGTCAATAGTATTTATTTTATACTACGAAGATGACAAACGGGCATACAGTCCGACTGATGATAAACGGTCATTGTAGCTTGACGTCTGCAACACTAGGGGTGTCATATGTGTTATATATTTATTTTAAATTATATTAATTTTCTTAAACATCTTGTGTCAAAATGTGTACCTACATTTATTAATAAAAATCAAAGTAACTACTTTAAATATTAGATTTGTCATGACAGCTGTCATGAAGTGCATATCAGCTCTAACATATTTTATTATTTTAATTTAATTTGGGACAGTATTAATCGTTATAATTTATTTAAATCGTAGAAAGTAGTGTAAATATTTAGTGACACTGTTATTTTAATATAATATACAAGTAATACATAATTATAAAGACAATTAAATTTGACCAACAAACTCATGAAGTGAAACAGTATTTTTTTTTTTTTCATTTATAAGTAACAAATATCAGAATAAAGTGAGTGCGACTTACTTCTTAATAAAATAATAAGCCAAGGTTTACAAAATATAGGTGATATAGACTGCATAATATATTAAACATAAATTGTGGTTCACTAAAAGTTACAGAAATTGAATGTGGGTATTAATAGAAATTTATGAAAATTTTAACGAACAAAATCTAAGTTCAGTTAACATATAATCCATAATTTCGAATCAACAAGTAACTGCGATTGTGGTACACTGGTTTCAAGCACGGTTTGAATGACTCTTGCGTAAGTGTCTGCGATCGGTTCCTGCCAACGAAATTCACTTTTTGTATGTAAAAAAAATTAAGTTAGCGAATCTGTACTATAGACAAATGGATCAGACGAATTATATTACAATGAGGCGTACTAAAAGAATTGTATCGAGTTTATCAGAAAGTTCTACATCTGAGTCAACAGAATCTATTTATTCAACAAAAAGTCTGCCTGATTTATCTACTCGTGATGACATCGTAGACGACCTAAAAATAGAAATAAATAATCTTAAAACCCAGTTAGAAACTGCAAAAGCCGAAATAGATGATTTGTTAATAGAAAATAGTACTTTGAAAAAACAATTGTCAAAACAAAATTATAAAATTACACACCTCACAAAAATATACTCGAGTTCATCGAGTATTAAAAAGAAAAGAGGGGATGTTAAGAAAGATGAAACAGTCAAATTACAAAAGAAAAGACTTTTTGATTTAAAAAATCATAGTTATAATGAAATAGAACATCCAGATTTTGAATTATCAATTAATACAGAAAACCAGACTGACATAGAAAATATTGACTCAAACCGTAATTCAGACGACAATTCTCAACCTAATAAGAAGACAATATTACAGAAAACAACGAGTATACCACAAAAAACAGACGACAAAGAGAACATAAATTCTTGGAAAAAAGTGATTTTACTAATCAAACAAATATTCCCAAAATGTTAATAACTGGTTCGCAGCAATGTACAGGTCTAGCATCAAAACTTATTTATTCAAGATTGGAATCTGGTTACCAAAAATATCAAATTTATTCTATTATAAAGCCAAATGCTTTATGTCAAGATATAATTCAAGAATGTTATCAGATCGAAGATTCAAAAGACAATTATATTATTTTATGTGCCGGAGAAAATGACAAGAATCCGACAAAAGTAATGATTGAATTTGTAAATTTATTGACAAGGTTTAAGAATATAAAGATAATTGTATTGGGAATAAACAGTAGCAAGTTTTTAAATGAATATATGTTAAACACACTTATTTCAAATGTATGTAGAAATTTTCAAAATTGTCAGTTTCTAAAAGTAGACAATAAGGGTGGCAAAAGAAAATTCCTTTCGGAACTGTGTTTAAAACTTAATGTTATTGTTGATTTCGAATTTTACAAAAAACACTATTTATGCTATAATAAAATAAAAAGTCGTATATTACCTAAAAAAGCCAGCTCTAACGATTTTAAAAAGCCCCATAAAGGTACTATACCTTACTACTTTCCTAGTGTAAGTAAACATAGCTCAATATATGAGAATAATCTAAAAAATGGTAACAATTATTTTCCTCCGAAAAATGAAGGAAATGAGCTTTTTCGTAAATAATAAAAAAGATCCAACTACATTAACATTGTTCCATCAGAATATAGCAGGACTTATAAATAAACTAGACATGTTAGAGTTGTGTTTAAATGAATTAAAGGAAAAGGATATATTCCCTGATATTGTTTGCTTATCGGAAACTTTTGTTAGAAATGGAGATGAAAATAATATTGTCTTAAATAATTTTAAATTGGCTACTTCTTTTTCTCGATTAAATGAAAAACGCGGTGGGGTATGTATTCTTTTAAAAAGATATATAGAATATAAACACATTCCATTTCTTAATGATCTCTCAATTGAAAAATATTTTGAATGTTGTGGAGTAGAAATACCATTATGGAACTGCATTGTTATCTGTATATACAAAATACCTGGTACTAATAATAATGTATTTTTTGAAAATTTTGAAAATATATTACACAAAATATCTTTTAGAAGCAACAAAAAAATTATTATTGCAGGGGATATTAATATTAATACTCTTATAAATGACAAAAATTCTTGCTATTTAAAGGAAGTTCTTCTTAATTATAATTTACAAATGCATATAAATAACCCTACAAGACATAACACGTGCATAGATCACATTTTTAGCAATATTTCATCAGCTGAAGGTAGGGTTCATGAACTTTTCTTGTCAGATCATAATACGGGTCAAACTTTGACATTTAAATTACATATTCAAAAACCTATACTACGTTATCATTATATAATTAAAAGAGACTTTAATGAAGACAATATACGAAAATTCATAGATGTCTTAAGTAGTTTATCTTGGATAGAAGTGTTAAGTGAAACAAACATAAATAATGCATTTGATTCATTTCATGACATGTTCTGTTTAATGTATAATCTTTGCTTTCCAATACAAAGAGTCAAAATAAAGGAAAGAAGTAATAAAGTAAAATGGATCACAAAGGGAATAAAACTATCATGTATATATAAAAGAAAACTCAGATATAATATTTATAAAAAAAATAAAGGCTACAATAAAAAACAATATTTAAAATATGCAAAAATGTTAAACAAATGTATTAATTGTTCAAAAAGAATAAATAACAGTAGATTTATTAAATATTCAAGGAATAAATGCAAGGCTACTTGGGATGTAATAAGTAGAAAGGAATGTAATATTATAAACAGACAAGACATAAGATGCATTGAGGTCGAAAATAAAAAAATAAACAACCCTCAAGAAATTGCTAATGCATTCAACGACTACTTTATCTCTATCACTGGTATAAATACATCAAAAAGTTATAATCAACATAAAAGTATAAAAAATTTATGTTCATCCATATTTATAATACCTTGCAGTGAAGATGAAATAATAAAAGTAATAAAGTCCTTGAAAAATACTCGCTCGGTGGGATTTGATGATATTTCAACACTTATATTAAAATTGGTTGCTCAAAAAATTGCACCGGTGTTGACTTATCTTATAAATTCTTCTTTTACACAAGGAAAATTCCCGAAACGTCTAAAACATTCTATTATAAAACCATTACATAAAAAAGATGACAAAAATAAATTAAAAAATTATAGGCCAATAACACTGAACTCAATATTTTCTAAAGTATTTGAAAAATTAATGTATAAAAGATTAATCGACTTTATCAATAAATTTAATATAATTAAAGAAGAACAGAATGGATTCCAAAGAAATAAATCAACTACTTTGGCTGCCTTTTCTGTCATCCGTAACGTAACAAAATTTATTGACAGTAAAAAACGAATAACTGGAATTTTCTTTGATATGACAAAGGCTTTTGACAATGTAAATCATAGAGTATTGTTAAACAAATGTGAACGATATGGTATTAGGGGTCGTGCTTTAGACTGGATAGCAAGTTATATTACAGATAGAAGACAGTGCGTCCAGATAAATCGCATTAATAATATATGTATGACTAGATCATTTACATCAAATTATCGTTGTACTTTATCAGGAGTTCCTCAAGGCAGCATTTTAGGTCCATTGCTGTTCCTTTTGTATATAAA